AAAAACTATAGTCGTTATTTAAGCAGACACAAGTGGGCCGGATGAAACACTTCGATGGCCCTCGGGCCGTAATTGGCCCACCCATGTATCAAACACACGCGAGAACAATATTTCTGTAGGAATCACAAGGGGGAATCTAACCAGAGCCCACCTATATCACTTTATAGCAGCGGTAATTAAATCTTTAGCACATCTTTACTCCCAAACACCCAATAGTGCTCATTTATTGAAAAAGAAATTACAAATTATTTCATTATATTTATTTGAAGTCACGGCTGTCTTTATACAATGGCAACCAGCTGTTCAATGTCTGGCGGAGTACAGTGATTTCCCCACATCCCTCCAATAAGGGGTGAACACCCCCTGAAATTTTAAACACCCTGGCGAGTGTTGAGTCATATTTGCCGCAAAATATAATTTAATTCCAATTATGTTGAGTTTTATAGTATTTGGACTTTCAATTCCAACTTTAATTTACTTTTGCTATAAAATGTCGCCTATAATCATTTTAAGTCGTAGAAGATGGGAATAGGAATAAAATCGACGCGATAATTCCCACACGAGGTAGATTTCTCTCAAAAATGTTCTTTGAAAGAATATGGCGGCGCCTGCTTGTTTGGTCACAAAGCCAAAACTTTCGAGTGTGTGATCATTGCCTTATTCAACAGTACGAAACCGACATAAAAATATTTAAACTTCATTTCAATCAAAAAATTTAAACGATCACTGCTCGATTTACGTCAATGGACTATTAGCTTCCGGGGAATGATCGTTGAAAATTTTTGCTGCTTCGAACTAGCATAACCCTGGCTTCAAAATTTTCACATTCTAACCATTGCAAATGAAAAAAGCAATGCGAAAAATAATCAGAAATCCATCTCGCTTTCGTCTGTTGTTATCGAATTTAATCTCCGCGCTAATTTGTTCATCTCTGTATACTTTACAGCAAAAGTTCTCAGCCTTCATTCTCTAATTTAACTCTTTGCGAATTGAAAATAAAATGTACCCACACTATGCAATGGGCGACGGACGAAAAAGTCTTTAGAAAACAGGAATTTCAACTTAGCATTGTGCAGATATATAAAATTGATTGCGTTTCGTTTATACAAGTACGATTATCCCCTACAATGCTAATTCCTCCTTTATAGCGCGTAGGCCAAGTGGTTGAAGCGCTTTTTTACATCTTGGATCTAAATTCCATTCTAACCATTGCAAATAAAATTATCAATACAAAAAATATCCAGCAATCTATCTCACTTTCGTCTGCTGTTACCGAATTTTAACCTCCGCATTGGTTCGTTCATCTCTGTATATTTTTATAACAAAAGTTCTCAGCCTTTATTCTCTAATTAACCTCTTCGCAAATTTCAGAATAAAATTCTCCCCGCTGACCAATCCAATTTCAACTTAGCATTGTGCAGATGTCTTAATTGATTACGTTGAGTTTCCATAACTACAGTTATCCCACACAGCAATGCTAATTTCTCCTTTATAGTGCGATTGCCTGGTGGTCAAAGCTGTTTCAAATCTCGGGTCCAAATTCCATATCCACCTCCTAACCAAGGCTATGATAAATTGATGAGGCAATGCCGAGCCGGAAAAATATCTGTAATTCCGAATAATAGTAGTTCTTAAGATGTCGTTAGATATCAGTGGTAACTCATACAAGGCCTAGTTCATAGCGAACAGCGTTAATGAGTTACCTGTATATAAAACTACTTAGACGGTAAAATTAATGTTTTTTGAGATTTAGTAGGAAGTTTCGAGTCATTTTATCGCCATTAAAAGTCTACAATTACGATTCTCGGAGTTTCAAATCACGTGACAAAGGGCAAACCTGGCAAATTCACAAAGAGGCAAAATCCAACATGTTTAATGTGCATGAAACGCGGTATTTCAGTGCATTTCTACGTGTGATATGTCATTTTTTTGGAAAATATAGTGAAGGCTTCGAACTAAATTATAATCAGAATATCTCACTGATATATTTAGCGTTAAATTTGCGTTGCGCTGTTTGAAAAGAAAGTAAATGATTGACGTGAGCTTCCGCGATTTTTTAAAACGATAATAATCTCGTAAAATTACGAATGTGCTTTGGAAATACGTTACTTCGAAAGCATGGTGTTACTCATGAACGATGCAGCGGAAATTAGTTGAGCGACAGCGAGAATTGCAAAGGGAAGTTGATAATATTGTCTAGTTCTCATCGCAGGACTTTTTCCATCAATATTTCCATCCAACTTAAAATCATAGCACCAAAAATATGCGGCAATTTTGCGCTTATGGTAGATATTGCAAGAAGAACGAAAGCGTTGGGGGTTAAGGGAGATCATCAGGAAAAACAACGTTTCATAACATGTGATAGTCACTGATATTTCCAACTCCGGAGTGTGTGATCAAGGCCTGATTCAACAGTGAGTGACCGACATAAAAAAATTTCATTTTATTTCAATCAAAAAATTCAAACGATAACTGCACGGTTTACGTCAATAAACCATTAGTTTCCAGGAAACGAAAGTTGAAAATTTATGCCGATTTGAACTGGCATAACTCTAGCATCCCATTTTTCACATTTTAGCCATTGCCAACGGAATAGCAATGCAAATAAAGCCGTCATCTATCTCGCATTTGTTTGCTGTTATCGGGATTTATAGCAAAGGTTTTCAGCCTTTTTTCCCTAATTTACATCTTTGCGAATTTAAAATAAAATTCAACCCGCCATGGCAAAATCCGACGTGTTTTATGTCCATAAATCGCGGCATTCCAATGCATTTTTACGTGTGATATGTCAGTTTTTGGAAAAAACAAAGGGCTTCGAATAAAATCATAATCGGAATATCTTACTGATATATTTAGCATTAAATTTGCGTTGCGCTGTTTGAACAGAAAGTAAATGATTGACGTGAACTGCCGCGACTTTTTGAACGATAATGAGCTCATATAATTACCACGAATATACTTTGAAACTGCGTTACTTTGAAAGCATGGTGTTACTCATGAACGATGCAGCGAAAATTAGTTGAACGATGGCGGGAATTGCACAGGAAGTTTTGATAATTACCGGTATATCAGATTCTCAGCACCATATGCTATACTATACCTACACCGACATATTTGATAAATGTTATCTAGTACCATGCCTGGACCAAAGCTCTATACATTCAGTTGGAAGCCAATATGATTGATTTAACTTAGTTCAACTGCGGCACAAACATAAATTCAACGCACTAACACACGGTCACGCAATGTTGTGATCAACTTAACAGCGACTTGTATCGCTTGCCCATCTACGAAATCCTTGCACGTAACTCCGAATATGGACAGGGGGATTTTTCTAGGCTAGAAGGCTTAGCTTGTACTGATACTGGTTTTGAGTGCAGTGTTGCCTGACCCATACATTTGTGGAACTGACCTATAAGGCGCGCGATCAATTTTAAATGGCTCAAAAATTGCGCGGATGGATAAATAAAACATAACCATACCTTTGTCTCCTATTGCAAGGACTGACCAGGTATGAAAGATGCTGGGTCGCGTTGCAGAGCTGCATACTTTATTGCTGGGTCAAATTGAGTGAAACTTATAACCGCATAACTAAAGTAATGTCATTTTTCCATTTTATTAGCTTTTAACTTAAAATTTCTAACAAAATCATGCTTAATATTACTTTACGAGTCTTGCGTGTAGCGAATCATACGGTATTCAAATCTTTTCTTCCTAACAAATGGAATTTGGCGACGCGGCGCTCATATGTGGCTATTTTTTATTTTGCACTTCTGAAGCAAGTGAACCGAGAATTCGACGTCCGAAATGCTATATTCGATGTCTAAAATCTCATTTTCGACGTTCGAAATCTTATATTCGATGTCTAAAACAGTGCTCTTCAACCGGGTAGACGGTATACCCAAGTGTACACCAGAACATAAGTTGGGTATACAACTGATAAAGGGTATACGAAAAGTGGACAGCCTATAAAATCTTCAATTGGATACAACAATGCAAACGCGGCGCACATGAAATGTAAAATGTTATTAACGCTAAGAACCGACGTGAGCACGTTGTTACATCACAAATTATATAGATAATACGGGCATGTGTCTGGGTTGGTGATTTCGGATGCCATGCACTTTGTTTGACTTATGTTGAACATTATTCCCGTCGACGCTAAGGCAGTCAGTCAAATTTATAACTTGCCGTCACTAGCCTATTAGATTGCATGATGATATTGCAGTACAATATATGCTTAAAATTTATTGTTTATTTGAGCCTTAAATAAACATTGGTATTTGTAAGGTATACAAATTTCTTTAAAAACTGTAAAAGGTATACTTCGATAAAAAAGGTTGAAGAACACTGGTCTAAAAAAACCTTATATTCGATGTCCGAAATCCTATATTCGACGTCTGAAATACTATATTCGACGTCCGTAAACCTATATTCAACGTCCAAAATCTAATATTCGACGTCTAAAGTTCAATATTCGACATGCGAAATATTGTATTCGATGTCCGAAATCCTGTAAGCCCCCGCTCAAAAAAAATTTGTAATTATCCAGTTAGATTGAAGGCTAGAAAAGCAGATTGCGCAGGAAAGTCAAATTTTTAGATCATTTCTGACCCTAAATTCTTGATTTTTAGTTGATATATATATATTTATATCTACCCAGACTGGGCCACGCAATATCAAAAGCCGGCAAGACATGTCTGGCCTGGATTTTCATATAATAGGATTCATGGTGTCGGTTAATATGCCATATTGCGCAAAAATTCACCAAAATTCCATCAAATATGACTCTCACGGGCATGGTAGTGACGTCGTCGTCATCGTTTCATAAAGATAGAAAGAGCAGACCAAACTTTTTTTTTGTGACGCAACACGTCTCCTGAAATTTGAAAGAGAGAAAACAATTTCACTTTCCGCTCAAAAGTAGTGAGTCAGCTTGCATAGGATATATTCCGATGCGAATAGACTGAAGCTTCATTCTAATCTTCGCTGTTCGAAAATTTACTTTCATCGAAGCAAAGTTGACGAAATTCTTGGATTCGAAATGAAGATTCCGATTCGACACAGTTTCATCGGACTCATACTAATGATGGAAGCTTGTTTATTGATTAAAGGTCAGTACAACCGTGCATGCTTTGTTGGGTTTGCTTGCTTGCCTGAGTTTTGTTTTTTAGGGCGCACTAAAACTGACATGAGCAAACCATGGCCGGCGGGCCAATACTTGGCCAGTTTGATGATTTAATTTGGCCCGCCTGATGCTACCACAACCAAACTAAAACCCAATTTGGAAGTTTTAGCTAAAAAATAGCTCAAGGAATTTGAGGAAATTATGATTCAATTTTGGTAGAAGGCTTATGGTTTCCTCTTCTGCTTTTGTAAAACCGTTAAGACTGTTGATGAAATGTGACTTTTTGCGTCACACTTACATGGCCCGCCAGTCTAGTAAAATTTTTGACCCCCTGTCCAAAAACCTTGCCACCCCTGCACGATAAAATAAATAATTTCGTTGGATATTTGATACCCAATTGATAATTCTTACATCAAGTAAAACTTTTGCCTCACTATATCAGGCAAGATAATTGAGCTGCTCTAAATGGAGCTGCACATTGAATAATTGTGCATGAATAATATTCTGGAATAATTTGTGTTAAAATTTACAAATTGTTAGTGTTGGCTGTTTTTTGGCTCTCCAGAAGTGTATGTACCAATATTAAGGTGACTAATTTCGTTCGCCTAACTTATATCAAGTTGTATAAAGAGACTGGAACTCATAGACGGGGGGGGGGGTATTTACTTGGCTATCACACACTAACCCTAACCTGGTACACTTACTATCAACTTATAATAATCGCTGATTTTACAAAAGCCAAAAATAAAATAATTACTAAATATTCCCCAGCAATTTTCGAATATAAAAATAAGATTAGTAGTTTATAGAAGGGTTTAGTTATTTAAAAATTATATAAAGACTCAAACAATCAGGCCATTGATATCCAAACGGCATGAACGCTTTATATAAGTATTAGGGGCGCTCCGGTAGTATGTGCACTAAGATGGCGCACAACCTGAACATGGTATGTGTACCAGGCTACGATTATCAGGTTGTGCGCCATCTTGGTGCGCTCCGGTAGTATGTGCACCAAGATGGCGCACAACCTGAACATGGTATGTGTACCAGGCTAGGATTATCAGGTTGTGCGCCATCTTGGTGCGCTCCGGTAGTATGTGCACCAAGATGGCGCACAACCTGAACATGGTATGTGTACCAGGCTAGGATTATCAGGTTGTGCGCCATCTTGGTGCGCTCCGGTAGTATGTGCACCAAGATGGCGCACAACCTGAACATGGTATGTGTACCAGGCTACGATTATCAGATTGTGCGCCATCTTGGTGCGCTCAGGTAGTATGTGCACCAAGATGGCGCACAACCTGAACATGGTATGTGTACCAGGCTAGGATTATCAGGTTGTGCGCCATCTTGGTGCGCTCCGGTAGTATGTGCACCAAGATGGCGCACAACCTGAACATGGTATGTGTACCAGGCTAGGATTATCAGGTTGTGCGCCATCTTGGTGCGCTCCGGTAGTATGTGCACCAAGATGGCGCACAACCTGAACATGGTATGTGTACCAGGCTAGGATTATCAGGTTGTGCGCCATCTTGATGCACATACTACCAGAGCGCCGTATTAAGATTATAAGTATAGAATCCAGAAATCTAATAATATACGTTCTCATTGTAACAGTGTATTGGTGACATTATTGTAGATATTCCTATATTTTTTCAAAGCAATAATTAAAATAAATACTAAAAACCTCCCCAGCGATTTTCGAATATAAAAATTAATGGTTTATACAGAGGGTTAGTTATTTAAAAATTCTATGAAGACTCAAACAATCAGGCCAATGATATCCAAACGGCATGAACGCTTTATATAAGTATTAAGGGCGCTCCGATAGTATGTGCACCAAGATGGCGCCCAACCTAAACATGGTATGTGTACCAGGCTAGGATTATCAGGTTGTGCGCCATCTTGGTGCCATACCACCGGAGCGTATTAAGATTATAAGTATAGAATTCAAAAATTTAATAATATACGTTCTTATTGTGACAGTGTATTAGTGACATTATTCTAGAAATTCCAATATTTTTTTCGAACCACATCGAAAAACTTGGGCAAAATACGATGAAAAAACACTTTATTTGTCGAATTCAACAAATTTTAACATTTCATAATGTATTCGTAAATTGGCGATTTAGCCAATATAGGTGACACGGCGTAACTGTGAATTGAAACAATTCATTTGACAAATTTCATATCTGCTTTTTCGTTTTACGGCTGGAATATTTGTATCGGGAGGAATATTCATTTATTGCGGCGTAGAGGAAGCCGGTATGACGGCGTAATAATATGACGAACCTCGGTCTCTCGATGAAAGTTGAACCAAAATTTAAATTTTGAAAATAATAATTTTTTATCTGATAGATTTCCCCCTCGAATACCTCGTTGATTTTGTCTCGTATTTGATGCGTTGCTGTACTGTGAACAGGGCTGAGTTTACCGGGCAAAATAGGCCAAGTCTTGGGGCCTCGGCATTCAATTTTGTACTATTATTCGGTTTTAAGTCACTTTTGAATTGTAAAAGATTGTTATAGAATAAAACCAATTCATAATTTTATAAAGCTGATATTAATCAAATAAATTCTCGTCTCAAATACCCACCGTTTCGAAAATTAAAAATAGTAGACTAACAAATTTGTATAAATTCAAATAATTGTACGCTGGTCTCATGGCGTTTTATTACGACGCAATTTCTTAATCTACTTGTGCAATTAGCATGCTGCCAGTGGCTAAAATACCATGTAATTTATTTATGACGTCATAATGTATTCTTTATGACGTCATTGTTTAAGAGGACTCTCGAAAACTCAGCAGCCTAGGGCCTCTTGTCGTCTGAATCTCGCCCTGACCGTGGATCTTACTAAATGGCACTTCCTTCATTGTAAAACAATTTTTGTTTTGAAATCTCCAATGAGAGAACTTCCTCATTCAAAATGTTTTGGTTTTTAAAGCTAAATCCTAAATAAATATCGCCAAATACACTCAAATGTTCAGAAGTGAAAAATCGCTCATAGATTAGCGGGTGTGTTGGCCCATTGGTAAAGCGTTGGACTTGGATATTTTAGCAACGCAGGTTAAAAACTCGCGTTCCATTTTTCATACACCCAGGGGGTAGCAATGCCGAATTCGGTTATAAAGGTGTATAAAGGAAGCATCAAACTATGGAGAACTTTCGCGAGTTTATTGTTCGCCAGAAAAACTGAAACGATTCTCAGAAACCGACGGTATGAATCAAATCTTTGCCTATGGCGCACGTTCGATGAACATTATTAGGTTCCTCAGCGGCGGGCGTGAAATATAAATTTGATTCGACCAATCATCATCGAGGAAAATAGTGCGTTCGCATGACGTAGGCAGTAGAATAAAATTAAATATGGAATAAGCCAATGCGCGCCATAAGGAAATAGGTACTAAAATAGTCTCTATATAAAAAAAAGTTCAGGGACATAACTTTCGTTTATATGTTAAAAAACCTATTTTAAAATGAACGATTACCTCGATTTCTAATTTTATTTTTTTTCCTACAGGAGAGGAATGCTGGATTCCTATGATTTGCGACGATCAACCTACTTGGAGAGAACTTACGGTGAGAGCTTTAGTAGTAGTTTCATATTAGTGGTATTTCACTTTAATCCATGGGAACACTTTTTCACGGGGAACACTTGTTAAGCTAAGGCCTTACTGCATGGATGTGCAACCTTCATGTCCATATATTTAAACATTTCTCTCTTGTTCTATTTCAGGAAGGACAGTGCACAAAAGAAGAAGAGAAAGCTTTGGAAGGTTCGTGTCCACAATATTACTTCCTTTAAAATACCTTCACTATTTTTCATATTTGCCAAACGGTATGATAGCTAACAATCGTTTAGGTACCCCTGAAGTATGCGTACCAAGATGGCGGAAATAGGAACGTAGTATGTTTACCATGTTAGGGTGAGGCTATAATTTAAGGTGCAAATACTACGGGAGTTACCTAATTAGTCCTCCAACTTGTAATTGAACTAAAATAAGGAAAATTAGAATAAAATTAGGACCTAGTCCTAACCTGGTACAAATATTACGTTCCAATGTCCGCCATCTTGGTACGCATTCTTCAAGAGCACCACCGTTTTATCAGTGAATTTCAATCATTTTCTATTTTTATTGCGCCATTTGACCAATCAAATCATAACATATAGATTAGCAATACCCATCTCATATTCTTATATTTAACCAGAGAGAGGGGGATTCATATCTTCTAACAAAAAAATTCACTGGATACGGATTGTTAAACTGATGGCAATTTAAATTCTGTTTTTTTATTTTTCGCAGCTTTAACGGAACGATTAGACGGAATGAAAAGTGAGCTCAATCAATTAGAAAAGGTGTTGGAGGAAGCAGAGACGAACTCAGTACAGCCCTCTGTTGTAGGAGTCAAAGAAACGACCACTCCTCAGGGTATGAAAATACATGTATTTTGGTATCTCATGCACTTGATATTGAAAAAGTCCTTTTCAGTAATAGTAATCGGTAATAAGGCGATTGTGCGAAAACGCTGACATTGAGTGTCTCATTCTTACCTTGAAGTACCCGAACCTTCAAATCTTGCTATAAACTTATAATATAAATTCAATTTTTCACACAGGTAACAAAGTCAAGAAAACGACGCGCTCTTCAACCGTCCCTGCTACATCCCCGTGGTCAACTAAGGAAGCCTTTCTGTCTACTGTGCTCCCACAAACTACAAAAGTCGAACAGAGTACAGGTTGGTGTGGCCTTTTCTTTCTCGTTTTTCACTCGGAAAATATTTCTCCCCTAAACGCTTTTTAGTACACGTTAAATATCTTAATTAGGAATTCTTCAGAACAAGAAAATTGCGATGGTTTCCGGAAAAGTAGATTCTTATGTATTAGTAATTGTCTTGTCTAGCAAATTGTTTGGAGTGAGATTTGAAAACGAATCACGAAAACACTAAATGTATTTGCGCGATTAAAAGATATCAACGTTATGGCCTCAGATTATCCTTGAAAAATTGACTTTCCTTATCCCTGCAAGGCGCCTAAAAATAGGACTTAGCAAAATTGCCTTCAGATGGCGTCATAATTCGAGCGTTGCTCCTCTTTATGCTCTATAGTGTTGTTGCTGCACTGTTCGACTCAAGAAATCGGATACTGGCGTAGTTAAGTAATTATAGCGGGCACCCTCATCGGATTAAGTAATTCCAAAAAAAATATCGTAAAAACGTCCGTATATTTTGGCGTGTTTTTTTTGGATGACGTAGTCAGATGGGGGTTGGGAATAAAATATGCAAAAAATGGTTAGGCCTCACCCATTACATGTGATATTAAACTATACAAGACCCAGAAATCGCAGTTACTCACTTTTTCGTCGATTTTTTTTCGATACAGTGGGGTAAACTCTTTACTTTCCGCAAATTGGAATTTTTTTAAATGTTGATATTTGTTTTATTTTATCCACCAAATATACTGCATTGATGAATTGAATGAGAATAAATCAAGAGCTGATTGCCCGCACAAAAGGCAGTGAGGGTTGTAGCTTGCCCATCCGGGCTCTAAATCAGGGGTCGGCAAACTACGGCCCGCGGGCTGAATCCGACCCGAATTTATTGTGAGACACGTGTAGACTAAATTATATTATAACCTGACATGTATAAAATTCACAATTACTCGTTTAAAAAGCAGATAATCTAATTATAATTAGACAAATAACAACAAAACGCAGAAAAATTGATGCTAAATGCAAAGAGTTTAATGGCGCCGAAAATATTCAAATGAAATTGAGAAAATAAATCTATATTCTATTTGAGAGATGTATCACTGCTTGATTTTTAATAGAAAAAGTATCATTCGTTCGGTTTTGAACTTTCTATAAATATGTGTGGCCCGCCAATGACATGCAACCTTCAATTTAGGCCCGACAAAAGTTTGCCGAGCCCTGCTCTAAATTCTTGTTTTTTTGTGTGTGTTTTTTTTATTCGAGGTCGAGGAGGTGAAAATACCTATGATATCAGAATTTGGCAAATTTGTTGAAAAGTCTGGTCTGCACCTTATAACTGTTTCAATGTTCAGTTACAGTACGTACCTGCCCAGCACCTGAAGCTCTAGACAACGGGATTGTGGACCTTACGACCGCACCTGACTTAGAGTTTGGTCAAACAATCGAATATTCATGCAATGCTGGATACGTTCTTCAAGGATCAATCATGGGAAAATGCGGAGAAAATGGAACCTGGGGGGAAGTGCCCACCTGCGTAGGTAAGTGTTGACGCTGTGTATTCGAGGATAATTTTTAACTCCAGGGTGTTCGGTTATTGGTGCCTCGTATAGTTTCGTTCCCCAAGTACTTCTAGCGAGTGTAGCATAACGATTTTTGCACATGTCAATCCTAACCCCCACCTGACTATGCCATCCAAACACTAACTGAAACAAATAACTAGTTAGCTATTTCTAAATCCAACATGGACTGGTAATGAGACCACAGGTGGGATTTGCTATTTGATTGCACCGTCTCAATGACTTTCCTCTCCCATGTGATGAATCGGCCCTACCAAAAATCCGATTTTAAAAACTTAGCAAACTCCTAATCAAAATCTGACTTTTATTCAAATGAAATTTACACTTCTTAAGTCCAATTCATGCAAGCCTGGCTAAATATACTGTTATCAATTATTAGCAAACCTGCCTTTTGACTTTTTATTGATAATTTTGACTTGTTACCATTGAAAGTCTGACATTAGGACATTTAATTATCTCTGGACATATAAGCTGAGTCGAAGTTAAGATTGTTTTTAACCCGATGTCGATTGTGAATCTTATCTGACTTTACAGCCCTGTTCCCAGTAAAATAATATTTGGTTTAGGCCAGAATACGGGGCTAGGTCTCTAAAAAAGTTCTTTTATGTTTTTCAGTCGATCTTACTTGTGATTTTGAGTCTTCAACCAACCCTACATGCGGCTACATGAGAGTTAATGGAACATTTGAAAGGACTAAGGACATTACAGGTATTGTTTCTATATGAAATGAGTGAGTGCCTGTAACTTTGCTTACAAATGAGGCTTCTTAACATCTGAGTGAGTGTTCGTAACTTTGTTTACAAATGAGTTACTTTTACTTTCTGAATGAGTGACTGTAACTTTGCTTACAAACGAGGCTTCTTTACATCTGAGTGAGTGTTCGTAACTTTGCTTACAAATGAGTTGCTTTTACTTTCTGAGTGAGTGCCTGTAACTTTGCCTGCAAATGAGTCATCTTTACTTCTGAGTGAGTGCCCGTAACTTTGCTTACAAATGAGTTACCTTTACTTCTGAGTGAGTGCCTGTAACTTTGCTTACAAATATGTCACCTTTACTTCTGCGTGAGTGCCCGTAACTTTGCTTTCAAATGAGTTACCTTTACTTCTGAGTGAGTGCCCGTAACTTTACTTACAACTGAGTCTCCTTTACTTCTGAGTGAGTGCCCGTAACTTTGCTTGCAAATGAGTCATCTTTACTTCTGAGTGAGTGCCTGTAACTTTACTTACAACTGAGTCTCCTTTACTTCTAAGTGAGTGCCCGTTACTTTGCTTGCAAGTGAGTCTCCTTTACTTCTGCGTGAGTGCCCGTAACTTTGCTTTCAAATGAGTTACCTTTACTTCTGAGTGAGTGCTCGTAACTTTACTTAAAACTGAGTCTCCTTTACTTCTGAGTGAGTGCCCGTAACTTTGCTTTCAAATGAGTTACCTTTACTTCTGAGTGAGTGCCCGTAACTTTACTTACAACTGAGTCTCCTTTACTTCTGAGTGAGTGCCTGTAACTTTGCTTACAACTGAGTCTCCTTTACTTCTGAGTGAGTGCCCGTAAAAATACTCAAGCTCTATCCCAGTTCTCACACCAGATATACTCACTTTTTTTATTCCAATCGATTCTAGGTTATGTTCTTGCTGGTAATGGTTCAATCACATCCTTACCCAAGGCTTTGGCTGGCAATGAGGAACTATGCATGAGTGTCGACATAAAAGGGACATCTGACGGGGAACTGGTGGCCAAGGTTCACAATGGAACTGTAACGTGAGTAGCTAACACTGCATTTATTTTTCACCCAAATATTTCCCGCTTTCACTCCAAAGAAGGCTTTGTATTGGCAGCCGCTATACAGTGAGGATTTAGGAAAGTTGCACGCCCATTTTAGGTTGTTCCAAAAATTTTGCTTTGAGTATCATCTGGGAAAAAAACCACTGTCAAGCAATGTAATATGAAGATCTGCTAAAACTATAAATAACTATAGCGGTGATTTTCACATTGGAAAATGCTGATTAACGGGAGACTTTAAGACAGTTAAATTTGATGCGCTCGGAAAAAGAGCTGAGAAATAGATTTCATGTGAATGGGTTCCTTGGAAAAGCCAAGTATAACCGATTTTGATTTTTTTGGAAGTCGATGTAAAGGCAACAATTATATGTTTTGTAACTTTTAGGAAAGCAATCTGGCCGTTTTCTGCCTCGACTACCTGGAAAACAAAGAAATTCGTTTTAAAGAAAGCAAACTCTACAGATACCGAGGTTTGTAACACATCTTTTAGCAAAAATTGGGAAAATTGGAATTTTAAAATTGGAAAATTTAAATCGGAATTGCCCGCCTGATCCTGCTACAACCAAACTAAACCAAATTTTGACATTTTAGCTGAAAATAACTTGAGGAATTTTTTAAAAATGCGATCAAAATGTTTTTTACTTTTGCTTTTGTAACCGTGAATATTGTTCATAAAATGTAATTTTTTACGTCGCACTTACATGGCCCGCCAGTCTAAATTTCAAAATTCTGCCCCAGGTCCAGGTCAAGCATTATCAGCGCTCAGAGGGTTGTAATCATTTTTTCGCATAATTGAAGTTTTTTCTAGAATTCCTTTACAAACAGGGAACACATATTACCAACTTTCACTCCGCATGTATAAACCTCAAATGTGGATCTTTTGACTCTGTGAGAATCCCTTTGCAATTACGATACGTTCAAATACAGATGGGCAAAGTACGGGCCGCTAGCCAAAAACAGCCCGATGGGTAATTTAATCTGGCCCGCCCGATGCTGCCACAATCAAACTAAAATCAAAGTTTGGCGTTTAAGCTAAAAAAAATGGCTCAAAGAATTTATTGAGATTACGATTAAATTTTGTTTTTGGTACGAGGTTCATTGATTTTAAACTTTGCTTTTGCAAATATTTTATGGAACGTAACTGTTTACGTCACTTTTACATGGTCCGCTTTTACATTGCAATTTTTTTGCCTCTTTTCTGAAAACCTTGCCCACTCCTGCTCTAGTCTCTGCCTCGCTCAAACTTCAATCTTTTTTATTTCATTCAGGTCCAACTTGTGCTTGACGCATCCGGGAATGTAAAGTTAGACAACATAACAACTTCGAACTCTTCCGAATGTTATGGTCTTGGTAAGTAAGTAAGATTCCAGTATTTTTTAAAAATGTATCAATGGCTGTTTGCAAAAGAAGCATTGATTGAAGTGACGAAATATTTTACAAATTTAAAAGAATCACAAACAAATACTCTGCGAGGTAAATTTTTATCATTTCTTTCTGTAGCTACACCATGTGCTAAGCGAAATCTTGAGAAGGGAACAATTTCTCCTGAGCAGGAATTGTACAGTCAAGATCAGGAGGTCAGTTACTCTTGCAACTATGGTTACACTTTGGCAGGGGGACAGACAGGAACATGCAAAGCTGACGGTTCATGGTCCACAACACCAGTGTGCACTCGTGAGTTTTTTCTTTAGCTCTTACGACCATTCAACCATCATCATTTATAACCTGCTGTCTATACGGCAGTCCATTAGCCCTGTATGCAGGAGACCATTCAAATGGCGATTGGGGTATAATATCCATGAAGGTTAAATGCCAACACAACCGTGTTTAAAGCTTTTACCGCAATGCCATCGTGACCACAAAATTGTGAATGATTCTCCTGAACAAGGCATTGAGAGCACACATGAGCTGTTAGGCTTAGTCTACCAAATACTCCTCAAGTTAATTTTGAACTTTTTTTATCATTTGTTGTTTGTAGCTATACAATGTGCAAAGCAAAATCTTGAGAAGGGAACAATTTCTCCTGAGCATGAATTATACAGTCAAGATCAGGAGGTCAGTTACTCTTGCAACTATGGTTACACTTTGGAAGGAAAACAGACGGGAACATGCAAAGCTGACGGTTCATGGTCCACAACACCAGTGTGCACTCGTGAGTTATTTTCTATAGCAATCAGGACCATTCAACCATCCCCGTTTCTAACCTGCTGTCTATATGGCAGTCCAATAGCCATGTATGCAGGAGGTCATTTAAATAGCGATTATGGTCATATATAAATCATATATCCATGAAGGTTAGATGGAAACACAGCTGTGTTTAAAGCTTTTACCGCAATGCCATCGTGACCACAAAATTGTGAATGATTCTCCTGAACAAGGCATTGAGAGCACACATGAGCTGTTAGGCTTAGTCTACCAAATACTCCTCAAGTTAATTTTGAACTTTTTTTATCATTTGTTGTTTGTAGCTATACAATGTGCAAAGCAAAATCTTGAGAAGGGAACAATTTCTCCTGAGCATGAATTATACAGTCAAGATCAGGAGGTCAGTTACTCTTGCAACTATGGTTACACTTTGGAAGGAAAACAGACGGGAACATGCAAAGCTGACGGTTCATGGTCCACAACACCAGTGTGCACTCGTGAGTTATTTTCTATAGCAATCAGGACCATTCAACCATCCCCGTTTCTAACCTGCTGTCTATATGGCAGTCCAATAGCCATGTATGCAGGAGGTCATTTAAATAGCGATTATGGTCATATATAAATCATATATCCATGAAGGTTAGATGGAAACACAGCTGTGTTTAACGATTTTACCGCAATGCCATCGTGACCACAAAATTGAGCATGTTTTCTCTGAACAAGGTTTTGAGAGCGCACAGAAGCCGTTAGGTTTAGTGTACCAAATACTCCTCAAGTTAAGTTAACTTTTTTATCATTTGTTTTCTTGTAGCTATACAATGTGCAAAGCGAAATCTTGATAAGGGAACAATTACTCCTGAGCATGAATTATACAGTCAGGGTCAGGAAGTCAGTTACTCTTGCAGCAGTGGTTACATTTTGGCTGGGGGGCAGACGGGAACATGCAAAGCTGACGGTTCATGGTCCACAACACCAGTGTGCACAAGTAAGTTTTTTTTTCTTTCTATATTTCCTCTTTCTAGCCTGCTGTTTGTATGGCAGCCCAGTAGCCCTGTATGGGGGAGGCCATTCAAATGCCGATTGGGATCATATATCCATCCCTATTTATAACCTGCTTTCCATAAGGCAGACCAACGTCCCCGTATGGGAGAGGCACTTTAAATAGCGATTGGGTCTGCGTTGAAAACTTCGCAAGTACAATTCACAATTGCCCAAAGTACTTAATCCATTACCCATCAATCCATTTAATCCACATACAGGCATATTTAAAATATCATGCTTTAATTGTGTTCAATGTAACCTGCTGTTTTGTTGACTAAAAATATAAAAGGATTACTAATTCAAAATGCCGCCGTCATAAAAATGTGTGGCATTGTGTCCGATAATATGATCTTGTTTTCATTCGTAATTTCCGATAAACGCTTTAGCGTCAAAGACAATCCAACATAATGTGAGCCATTTGCGATTGACAATGTCCAAAAAGCATTTTTGATCTGTCCCAAGCCTCCTAAAACAAAACTTATGGCTTTTCTCTTAGTTTTACTTTTATTATTTTACAATGCCGTTTTTCAATCAAAATATTTGGGTTGTGGATTCACCTCTTTATTATCTCTAGCATCTCCTCGCCGATGAATATAATATCATGACTTGTTTTTAACAACAATCTCACAATTCCTTGCGAGAACCGAAAAGTAAATATTATCGTCCTCGCGTAATTTGTGATTTAGAGAGAATAAATATCAACGTGAAGGTGTTTAAGGCTTTAAGTAGCACACCGCGCTGATGAAAACAATCTGCGATTTAAAGAAAATGCAATGGCACGCGTTATTGGCGACTTTTTCAGTCATCCAAAAAAAACGAAAGAGGTGGTTTCCGACTCTTTTCTAACACTATGTGCGTTTAGTCAACAATTACACCTTTAGGCAATTTGAAATTTGCCGAGGTATGCGAAAATAAATTTCGTAATTTCGTAAATTCCTCCAAGTCTAGGATTGGGGCCATATATCCATTCCTAAACTACTGTCTATATGCCCTGTGTGGAAGAGGCCATTTAAATGACGATCCATAATCTGCTATCCATTTGGCAGCCCAATAGCCCTGTATAGGGGAGGCATTTGAAATGGCGATTGGGACTATATATCTATCCCTATCGTCACCGTATTCATTCTTGTTGCCTGCGCGCAGATTGGACGCCAGACTTTTTCCAGTTCATTCACCATTACTCATTACCCTGTGGCCTTCGTTTCCTACTCTTAAAAATTAAATTCAGCGGGTGCTCTCTCCTGAATTCGGGGCGTAGCGTATGTGACTGGCGAGCCATTACCGCTGGCCTGCTGGCATCGCACTCACTCAGAAATGAATTGAACCTTCCGGTTTTCATGCTTTCACTCTGAACAACATTCTACACAAACAAATATTGCGACGTGAAGAGCTAGGCGTTAAAACACGTTCATTCTGAATGAACAAGCAATTACTGATATATAAGCAGATCCTGTTATTACTGGTAGTTTTCACACATTCTCTCTGAACAAGGCTCTACAGGAGCAACCAAAGATAGGGGAAGCCTATTGGTTTCAACCATCCCTTCACTCAGAACAAGGCTCTGCACAAACGTTTACAGATAGGCAACGAGCTAATATTTTTGAAAAGATTTTTACATTGAAATAATAAACTGTGCAGGCAACCACTGATACTGTTGATTAATCGCGGCATCCACTGGCAATCGTGTCGGTTGTCTACGACCTCGCTTCGTGACAAAAAGTTTTATATAGAACTTCAGTTATCTGATATTCAGTACGTTATAGATTGTTCCTGCTCATATTCTTCAAGTTTCATCGGCCTGTATTATCCAGCGCATATTTCAACCCTATATTTTTTCAGCCTTAATAGCTCAGTGGCTGCCCGTAATCTGCTCATAGAAATGTTTACTTTATTTCAGAGCAAGTTTGCGAGTCCTTTCTTGAATCCAATAAAATGACATATGATCAAAACTACTGAAGGATCACAATCATATTATTGTAAAAAACTACAAAAGACAATTATCCTTAATAAAACGAAGAAAAGTTTTCAATTAAAACGTAGAAATAAATATTCTCCTTAATAATAGTTTCATAAATATCTGACTTCAAACATTTTTGAATGTCATTTTTCTTCCAGAATGTGGAGTTGTCTATAATTCAAGATGTTTTCGAGCGATCGTTTATGACACTTGGAACGTCTCATTAAGCGTCGCTGAATCTATTTGCGAAAAGAAACTCGCTAACATTTATGACGTCACACACTACAACCGGGTTGTTGATTATTTACGACCAATGATTCCTGATGGATGGGATTACATTAATGTTCGTACGGGAATGACTTACAAGGTAGGTCGAGTCTGAATCATGTTGTTTATGCGGTCATACATGAAATCATTATAAAATAATGTTTATAATATGAAATATAAATGTTATGGCCGATATTGCTTCCGCATTACCACGTGCTATTACATTTTGTTTCCAAACCCATATAACCGTTGATAAGAGAAGTTCAAATCAAATCCTACAGGATTAGAAAAATTTATTTGACAGGGTTTTTCGGTTTCTATCAAAAAATTCAACTTCAAACTTTCGTCTCCCTGTAATATTTCCGGGAGATTCAAAATTTGACTCCAACATCAGTGGAACGCTTCAAGTTTACAGCTCTGTTACCAAATCAGAAAATTCTAATCCAAACTAATTTGATTTATGTGTCTATTTCATTCAATTCTTATCCACCAACGGTAATCACTGAAGTGTGACTGAGGAGAAGAGTCACGTGATGACGTCACGCTTCATAAGTTTTTTACTGAAGACGAAATAAGTTTGTTTTGCTTTGTCAGTTCATATGGCAAGGATTACTGGTTAAACCAAATTCTCAAACTGCACTTTGTTATATTTCTGAAAATATATTTTATATCGACAGGGCGGTCAGCTGTATTCAACGACGGGCCAAGCTATGTCTCTACCAACTGAGGTTTGGCATAATGGTCGTCCGTATTCCGATGCATCGTACACAACTGTTGTTGTTGATGTCAATCGAAACCCGGATGATCGAGGGATTTTTAATGTTCCTCCTTCCAGCATATATCACGGAGCCATCTGTGAAATTGAATTATAACTCTGTACATTAAATGAGCGATAAACAAAAACTGTAAAATTACTTGAGTTTGAGATTAATTGTTATTCACCCTAGTAGATTTATTAAAACTTTAACTTACTATTTCCACAGTTGAACAAGCTTATGCTGTTGAATTCCCGAATATTCGTTATCCATACATTCAGCTTAATTTACACCCAAATTCACTATTTCCACGTATCACAGTTGAACAAGCATATAAAGTAAATAGATTCTGCATGCGGTAAACCTCATATTATATTCATTGTTAGATTTCTAACAAACAAACTATTTTGTATTTTCTAGATGTGTCCAAGAAAAGTTTGAATTTATTATTTCAACTCAATTTGTTTCTGTGTGGATGTAAACAATCTTAAAATTTTGGCGATTTGGTTTATTCAAATATATATTACATGTCCAGGAAATTTCATTAAATTACAAAAATGTTCAATACGAATAACGGCTTCGTACCTGTAACCTATTTAGAGTCTAAATATCGTAAAATTCAAATTTTCAAAAATTACAGGAAGAAATTGTTTTCAGATATTTGTCATTGAACTTTATTTGAATAATTTAATAATTTAAGCTGAAAAAAAATCAAATTTTAACGATAAAAACTTTGGTAAATGCAAAATTCTCCGTTGAACCTACCAGACTCGCCGCCCATCGACTCTTTAAGTCATGAAAAAAAGTTCATTACTTTTGCTATATCTTTTTTGTGTGTTAATTAGTGTGATATACAATAGGTATATACGGATATTTTATTTGTTAGATGTGTTTCTGGATCTTATCAATTTTTGGCAAAATATTTTATCAATTAAAGTTCAAATTATTTTTCACGAACTGAACTTAACAAATGAAATTCATGGAAAATAATTTGAACTTTCAGTGCAGAAATATTATTTGCTACTTTGTGTGAATAAAATTGTCTTGCAAAACGTTATCGATGTATTTTAAAAACGATAGAGATCAAATTTATTTCCTAGAAAACTAAGAAATTCGCTCAATCGGAGAATTGAAATCAAAAAACATTTCTATCAAAATTGTCCGAATAAGACAAAATTTTTCCAGGAGTAATCCCTGAGCACTCGAACTCCCAGAAAATCAAATTTTGATTCAAACTCCAACTCACATTTCCACTTCTCGAACATATAGCAGTAATTCCCATGCAGGGGTCACAGAGAAGTTGCAGAGGGACCACAATGCTAGACACATAACAGATTTTACCTTTCCCGTTTCCCGTCCTTTTCAGTTTTATCACCTGATAAGGCTATTTCACAGGGTGTTTTTACTTTATTGAGCATGAATTGTTTGAATCTACAAATCAATTCGGAATTTACCAATAACAATAAAAACACTACTGTAATGACAAACAGGGGGCCATGAGCCAAAAAATGTTAGGAACCACTGACATAAAGCAAAAAAACCATTCTCGCTGTATGTTTGTAACAGATAGAGAAACAGATTATTAACATACAACGCAGCAGAACTGAAGAATTTAAAATAATCAATGTCCGTGTCTAACGCGTTATGCGGCGTTAATAATTAACAAATTATTGAATTTAACAACTCCTAAATAAATCTAGTTTATGCCTTCTTGTAGTAGATAATATTTCAGGTTTCAATTTGAGAAAACAGCTCCGCCACATTTAAAAATACCAAACGAGATAGCGATTGGGGACCGCCGACTTATCGATCTAGCGGCGTGTATCCTTCGCTCTGACTCAATAGCGACACCGCGTATCCTATCACTAATTAATCAATAACTCGCTAATTATACGATATAATTCAACCAAAAAAAATAAGCTTCTGGTCCGAGATATTAAGAATGCACATGCAAAATTAAGAGCAGATTCGCTTTCGTGAGATATCGCGAGTGTCTAACAGACAACCAGGCAACAAATACCTATCAACATACTCACCGGTCGACGTCGATAAGTAATTATTTTTTATCTAGTTGGGATTATGGGAAGGGTTTGAAATGATTTGAATGTTTGAATTCTCGGCGCAACCTGCATCTCTAACCATAACTGACTAATTTTCTCATTTTGGACGCAGGCAGGGTATGTTATATTTTGCACGGAGACTTTGTACAAAAGATCCAAATATTCCACTGTTATTGTAGGTTACATCTTGTTTTAGCTGGATAGTCGGGCCATGATGTAGCAAATGCCTAAAAATATATAAGCTGTTTAATATTGATAAATGAGTTAAATTTGGGGTTTACAACATTTCTTGTCGGTGGACCATATGACCAAATTCAGACATCTAGCTGGGCCACACAAAAGGGAAAGATAGAAGATTTAACGCAAGGAAAATTGCAAAAATCAATATTTATTTTCATCCATGAGAGCGCCTTTTCAAACTGAAACTCTCGGATTAAGATTAGGAAAAAATCTGAGTGGGTCACACTAAATGACGGTGGCGTTGGTTGTGGGCCGGCGGGACGCCTGTTGCACACCCCTGAGGCAAAGTACTGGAAACGTGCTAATGGAAGATTACCAATCCTCTATTTCTGTGAAACAATTTTCAGCTATGTAAACAATATATTTCCGCTCTTACAATTCGTGATAAACTGCGCCGAATAATCTTGTTTGCTTTAAAGTTCAGTCAAAAGAAAATGAACATGTCATATTTACGCAAGTTTGCATAATAGTCCGGCAATATCGGGCCTCAACATTGTTTTGGGACATAAATTTTTTTATATTGTTTAGATATAATGTCGATGACATAAATAATGATACCCAGGTGGGTGTGGAGTATATAATGTTGAGCAATTTTTTTAAATGGATTTCAAGTATTCGTACCAAGATGACGCACAACCTGAATCCTAACCTGGTACACATGCAATGTTCAGGTTGTGCGCCATCTTGGTACAAATACTACGAGAGCACCTTTTCGTTAAAAACAATTATTTCATAACTACATGGGTTAGTTTTGAATACATAGTAACATTGGATCTCCTTACTATGTCAGGAATTCATTTTTAGTAGATTAATGATAGTTTATTTCACTAATATAAACCAAGATCTATCGACAGCATCTAGCCACTTTCTTTTGCGCTCGTCAAACTACATTTGTGTTGCTGCAGGCATTTCGTTTTCCTTCTTAAAGCTTAGGGACTTAGAAAACATTTTATTAGTTGAAATGGATTGGAATATTTGACCTCGTCTTTTACTCCGAACGAGGCCATGCAAACCATCCACTGGTATCTAACGATGTGCAACGTGTTTTCTTTTGGAAAAACCGGAACCTTTCAGGTGCAGCATTGACTTTGACCAAATTAATATACCCTTGGAGAGATAGAAGGTATGCGTATGCGAAACCGAGATGTGCACCTGTTATGCCAACATAGTTGAGTCAAACATTTAATCACTAGTCGTCACACACATTTTTCTGCGTGCTTCGGTTGTACGTAGTAACGCGCACATTTTTGCGAACATGCATCAAATTCCACTTGTTTATTGAGCTATAGGTTTTTGACGAGTTTTTGTTATGATTTCATTCCATAGAATTTGTATGCTGTTTTAACGAATACTAGTTTCAGCTTTTTTATTCACCGCGTGTTGGAAGTAAGTTTTGTAATACTGCGTGTTGGTTTTCAAATGGTTTATTTATATCCATTACTTGACATCCTTAAATCGGTGATGCCAGTAAATCTTTAATACAAAAAAATCAGTATTATCTGCAATAAAAACAGCAGTACCTACTCAAATGACAGCTGGGGGATGGATACTCATATTACCTGCTCCATCGCGTGCCTCTTACCAGTTTACATGAGTGCCAATTGGTATCTAAGCTCAGCCAGAGACAAAAAGTTTCGGATTACGGTTGGCGTGACGAATTTTAAATAAATATATATTCCACAATAGGAATATTTGATGCATATTACTGAAAGTTACGCCTTATATGTCTTTTCCCATTGCACTATTCCTTTACTGATATTCAAAAATATGACGCTCATCTGACATAGTTTTTCAAGTGTGTAGATAGGTATAAACTTTTCCACGCTGTTCAGATGGGAATGCGCTAATATATCTTAGAATCGCTAATATTGGTTTTCAATGCGATGAAATCCCATCTTGGCATTTCTGCCTTTTTCAATTGCTGCTAATATTTATCGGAGAAGTTCTGTGGCGTGGTTATCAAATGAAGAACACATGGGAGTATTTTTTCCACTTCTTTACTACTCTCAAACCTTGACATTTTGTCAAACCTTTTTTCCATTCAACCTTTTTTTTGAAACAGCACATTTGGCTATGTTGTAGTGTAACTTTTGTGGCCTCACATTTTTGATATTTGTATTCAGATCTCTTGGCCTTGGGGCTCTGTCAAGCAAAGTTACATATAAAATATTGGTTGTAAGGTGCAAAACATGATCATGTTGCTCGAAAAACTCGGCATTTTACCACCCGCATATATATCATTCATTGTCGAGAATAATAAGGAGATTATAAAATCTAAAACCCGTTTTCGTGAATTTTTTGTTGTTGCTGAATTCGAGGGACAGCATGACAACAGACAAGAGAAGCACGGTAGTCTCTTATGGTTTATGACAGGGTTTCCTAAAATGGGACCCCGGCCCCCTTGAAGGCCACTGATCGGTTATCTGGGAGCACAAACAAACAGATGGAAATGCGAATATATAATAACAATGTATTTTTATAGAAGAGAAGAAGCAAAAGTGATGAAAGTCTGGAACATAAGATTGAACTACATTCTTTCTCAGGGATATACTATAAAATGTAGCAATTTTCTCATTCTTGTTCTCGTGATGGCATTATCTTTCACTGCATCATCGTAATCATCCCGCTGCATAACAATCCTTGCTAGCAAATAATTGACTGTTCTCCACCGGGTGTATATTCATTTGAACCACTGCCGGCTGGATTAGCAGGCTTGTATTGTTAATTGCAACAAGAGCGGGTATTTTGAAATAGTACTCTTTATTTTACGCGGTTGTTACAACAGTATTTCCATTTACAATACTAACCTGTTACAAT